TGTCAAAAATCTTATGCAACCATGAACCATTTTCACATACACTGTATGACGGAGGTGGTTGCTATAGTGATTCTTTTTCTCCCACATGTTACGTAGGTTATGAGCTAAGTGACTAGTAGCCTACTTCCCTATAAAGGGGAAAGTAGATGCTATACATTCCAGCTGCCCGGAATTTAAGCTGAATACAAGGAAGTTGGAATGTCTTACTTAAGAATCTGGACTATCTGATATCTTCCCAAACATGTTTGACTTACTTTCTTTCTTTTTTTTCCAAAAAATATATCTGTCAATCATATTACAAAACAGGATGCATCATGTAAGATATGTACTGATACAGCCCACAGTGAGCAGTCAATTAGCCGTGTTTATGCTAGAGAAGATTATACTGCCTTCATTACTTAAGCTCAAAGAGGGATCTTCCCATGGGAGCATTAACAACAAACCATTCTACTGATATTATGAGGCTTTCAACACTAATAATGAGAACAAAGTATTGTCAAAAATCCTATGCAACCATGAACCATTTTCACATACACTGTATGACGGAGGTGGTTGCTATAGTGATTATTTTTCTCCCACATGTTACGTAGGTTATGAGCTAAGTGACTAGTAGCCTACTTCCATATAAAGGGGAAAGTAGATGCTATACATTCCAGCTGCCCGGAATTTAAGCTGAATACAAGGAAGTTGGAATGTCTTACTTAAGAATCTGGACTATCTGATATCTTCCCAAACATGTTTGACTTACTTTCTTTCTTTTTTTTCCAAAAAATATATTTTGAGAAATGTCTCAGTGTTTTTTACTTGTCCATACAATGTTAGTTTATGGGCACCAAAACTGTTACCAACATACTTCAAAATATCTTCTTTTGTGTATCGCAAAAGAAAGAAAGTCATGCAGGTTTGGAATGACATGAGGGTGAGTAAATTAAACATGAGCCAGAACAGTCCTGAAATCACTTAAGAGGGTTTAGCTGAGCTTCAGTTTAAAAGTCTGTACTCAATGTATTTGAGGTAAAAGAGTAAACAAGGTCAAATAAGCCTACTTTAGAGGTATAATCTGCTTTTTTGAAATAAAAAAATTATAAATCTCTTCTTGTTGCAATTCACCTTTGCTCTAGCTTGTTTTATAGTGTCGTGTAGCTTTCTAATAACTATGAATATTGTTATCTCTAGGACAAATTACTTATAACTTGCTTTGGATAAAAGGATCTGCAAAATGCATAAATGTAAATACCTGGAAAGACTTTGATTGATGACTTATTCTATTCACTTTAATATATACAAATACAATGATTTTGCTGGGCCGTCAAATAACACATTTGTCAATCACATTTAATCAAAGCAAACTGTGCTAAAAAAAATCTTCTTTTTCAAATTTGGATTTTAATAAGTGCAATATACAAGATCTAACTGTAGCATTTATATAAATCAAACATAAAAAACATGGGCACTTTGATGATGTGGTTTTGTGATGCTAGTGTGAATCTGTTGTTGATGTAGCTGAGATCAGTCCCAGTGGGATGGAGAGGTCAGACTTCACACACACCTCTGTTTCACACACTCTGGCTTATTCACAAGCATGACAGGGTTCAGAGTGATGCTGCTATACTGGGACGAAGTGTCAGTTCAGTTCAGACAAACATTTAAATGGAGTCCAATGTCTCATCTAGCTCATTTTCAGCAACTCTTTTCCTGCAGGTCTTTATTAATGGGTGTTGGCTGTGCTTTGTTTGAATATATAGGTGTTGTGAATGCCTCAAGCACCTCTGATTTTGTTGTTGTTCCACTAGTTATTCCACCATCTTTAATCACAGACCCCCTCAGGGCTCCATCTTCTTTGCTTTTATTAACCCACACAAAACAAACAGGCTTTATTGTTAACCTACAGGCACAATAACAGGACATGAATTGCTTCTCTGATCAAGGTGTTTGCTTAAAACTTTAAAAATTGAACATCAAAGTTAGCACAATATTAGCATATTGATATTAATATTAGCAATGTTGCAGAAGAAAAAAAAGAAATTCAAATTATAGTGTTACAATGTAAAATAAAATACCAAATAAACAGGGGGTCCCAAAAAGTAATTGAACTGCAATTAAAATGTCCAAATAATCTGCAAACAAATGATGCTAGTTATTTTAAAGTGTTCAAATCAGTGTTAATTTAGTATCACTGAGATACTACTGTAGTTTGTGTTCATAATTTCAATTTTAGATTTTCCGTTTACATTTTAGAAAAGTTTTAATAGTTTTTTTTAATTGTTTAATTGTTTTTTATTAGTTTTTTTATTTGTCTATACAGTCATTTTTATTATGGTTTTAGTTATTTTAGTACATAAAAAATGATAATTGTTGCAATGGCAACTAGTTGAAATAAATAAAGATAGATAGATAGATAGATAGATAGATAGATAGATAGATAGTTTAAAACAGAACTCCTCATAACCAAAGAAAACTATGTTTCCTCTTGCCTGGTTGGGCCAGGTAAAATAACAAATTTTTTATATACTGTACATATTTAAATGTACTGTATCAATTTAATATATTTATACTTTTAAATGTTACAATTTACAAAGTACACATTTAATACATATTTTTAAATCATTTGTCAAAATAGTATTATTTTATTATAATAGCAATAATATGTGGAATTTATAAATTATAAAAAAATATTTCATCTTGGTATCATATTCAACCTATTCTCACTAATATTACTGTCAAGTTCATTCAACTGCCTGAAACTCTAGTCCGGTTCTAGCTGAAGAGCTTGATCTCAATTGACTTTGAAAGCTGTCAGCCAAACATGAGAGATGCTCAAGCTCACATTCCAATCTCATTACCAACAGACTTGCTCCAGTGCTTTTTGGCAAGGTATAAATGCAAACTCAGCATCTGAGTGAGATCCCCTGAGAGAAAGCATGAGGGGGTCTTCCTCCAGCCCTTTATACAAAAGGAGGGGTAGTGAATTTATTATAATTTAGCAACTCCTGAGCCCCCCCACCTCCTTCCATTCCTATCCTTCCTGCAGACCCCGCTGAGCCCCCTGCGCTAATGACACCTTGGTCTGGCCCAGCCCACATCACAAGCAGCCATACTCTCCATCTGCTCCCTCGAGCCAGAAAAAGGCATGTCCCATCTGTCTCCAGCACACACAAATAGGTCTACGTCCCCTTTAAGGAACCATAACGAGAAGCTGAGACTATGCCAGATTATTCTTTGCGTTTAATCACATGGTTTTGACAGCACATAAATATTCATATGTATTAACGCTTTAATCTTCTACTGTAATAGTATCATGAATGTGTTTTTAGTGCACTCACCAAACACTCAACTAAAGCACCACCTACTATCATCTGTCGGTTATTAATATTATTTTTTATTTCTTTGTGCTTTTTTTTTGTTATTAAATGAGTGCACTAGACAAACCACTTCACTGTGGTTTTGAACACCATTACAAAATGTCTGACACCTAAAATAAGGGAATAGAGGTAATTTCGGGCACAGCTAGTAAAGTGTCCCGTCCCAGAGCTGTTATAATAAATATCAGACCTCTTGCAACTGAGCAATCAGATTAGAGGACCAAAACGAATTGCTGTATAATAATGTCCCCTAATCTTCATATTAATGTTTCAGCCACTGTTTTGTACCTTTGTTACATCCCAAATATATTATAGCTGAATTTACATACAAAAAAATTACAGTATATTTCTAAAAATTGATCACTGGTTCTCTTACAGTTAGGCATGAATAATTTCACAATAAATTTGATTTTAATAATCCTGAAGTGCTGATGTTAGTGATTTATCAAGAGGTTCAATGATTTCACTCACCAGTAACAATATGGACGGAACGATACCAAATATATATGATGCAGCCTTAATTTCACACAAAATCAGCATCCACATCTGAACTTAAATATGATGAATGAAAGAAAATCATGCGGATGACTTAATTCCTAACCACTTAACAACAATAAGACGACAACAACAATATACTATAGCACAGCAGATGAAACGATTACCTTTTATGGTTCGCATTCCTGACTGGAACACACGTTTAGAGAGATGCGTCAACACACAACATACATAGCTTTGAAAATATGTGTATCGTAAAAAGAGATACTAACCTTTCCGTTATCGTAGACGCTTCGTAACGTTGTTTTGATTATGTGAGAGGTGTCTGAACCAAAGCGTCAAATCAGAGTCTAGCCATTGCGTAGACATAAAGGGGCAACGCTCAAACGTCTCAGTAGGTGGGACCCACCAGCTGATGTTTGGCTATAGGGGCGCGTTAACAATAGAATGTTCTCGACAGCCCGCTTTAAATGTTCTTCACTACTTTACATAACAGTGCCAATCAGTTCAGATAAGATAAGACGCAGTTGCAGGTTCAGCAGCGAAAATTAATTTTACTAACTTGTTTAACGTGTTATATAAATATATAAACAGACCCTCGCAGCATTAAATAAATAGCTAATAATATAAGTGTTATGTGTTAACTGTTATTCATATAAATTGCTGTTAAAAATGTAATGAGCAGTTGCTGTTTTTTGTAGAATGAGACGTTAGGTCTGACTTGTGGTCAAAAAATAATAATAAAATAAATAAATTAAATTAAATTAAAGTATTTTGCCGTACATGCTATGCTCTTGACGTGTCTAACAGGGCTCTCTTTTATTTCACAGGAGGGACATCTGCTGGTCATTTAGAAATCACCTTATAAAAAAGAAAAACAAGTATTGAAAATGTACTACGATCGATCAAACTATTTCATTTTTTTTAAATGACTTGTTCTTTTTCTTTATGGCATATTGTACAGCTTGTTCAAAAACCACCAGAGCAAAATAAATAGCCCGATTCAACCAATAAACTTTTAATCACATAGAATAATTTACATGGTACAAACAAAACTCATAATTTCTGTATGACACAATGAAGTATACACATATACATTTCCATTGATAGTTCCTATTATAATATATTATATACAGTTGTTAATGAGATTTGTTCTGTGCACATGAAAGAAAAGAGAGGATGTATTTAATAAAGAGGTGGATGAGGTTGATGGTGACGGGTTCTCATTTAGTTGTCTGGAGGTTTTCTGTGGGAGGCACAGGTGGGCTTAGCTCAGGACAGGCAGCACGGGGGTCACTGAACTTCACCACATATAAGAGTCATCATATCTGAAAGAGATAAATGTAATTAAGCAATCAACATTGCCATTTTTTCTGACATCAATACGGCATATTCCCTATTCAGTATGTTTTCACTGATAATATTTCACCTTCAATATTTTCATTAATGCTGCAATTTCTGTCAGTGATTTACAGTTTTCAATTAGTAAGCACAGTGCGATTTCGTCCTTTTTGAGGCCTAATTAAGGCTGTTAAATGTCAAGGCCTTTCAAATATTCATTGTGCGTCATGTTCCCGAACCCACTCCCTTCCTGACGTACAGAGAGAAAAGAATCCCATCTGTCCCCTGATTCCTCAACAGGTGTGAAAAATTCATGAGTTGTTCCTCCTTCCTATTAACACACAACCCATCACCCTTCATGAGTGTGTTCCTCGAGAATTAAAAAAACTGCATTTACCCCAAATACCTTTAGAATACTATTTACATCAGGAAACAATCTTATTGTTGTAAGACAAGTCTATTATTATTTAACATTAAAATTGCAGTTAAAGTTAAAAGAAAGACTCCCACCTTGATCTCTGTTTGTGCTCTGTGTCATCTCCGAACAGCAACTCAGCCATCACATCCTCCGAGGTGGACCTTTTTCCATACCTGAATGTAAGAAATATGACATTTTATTCCCTCATTACTTCATTCCAGCCGTGTAGCTTAGCTGGGAACATTTCAGTATTGAAATAATGATCTCAAATTGCTCACACAGTGGGCTCATTGTGGTGTGTGAAAGTGTCGGGAAGTGAAAAGAACTAGTCAGCCCACTTTATCTGTCAGACACCAATCACTGATACAAATACAAACTGTCTTTTCACCCCAGACGTTATGAATCTAATTTAGCAGTTAAATGATTTTTGACCGCTTGACAGCTGAATGTGCTTGAGACACGTCACCTAGAAGACTCTGACATTGATCACACAGATGAAAGGTACAAAGCCTCTATATCTTCAGACAAAACATGACTGTCAGTTCTAAAGGACATTTACTGGAAATTTAAAAAAAAAGTTTTATTATGGAGCTGAGGCAATAATACTTGACTTGTTCTTTTCTCTCAGAACGGCATCTTCAAGATGAATAGGCCTACACTGAAAAACATCTAAAGCGCAGCGTTTTGGCACTCAAATCCACAAAGCAATTTCATGCTCAGATTCCTCCTCGATAGATGCCTATGAGCAACATCAATGAGTCTGAGACCAAACTAATGTTTTAGTTATTTCTGAAACATGAGCTCTACAGAATCTCACCTGCTCCCCATTATGAACGTCAGCAATACTTTGTGAAGAGGCCAGGATTCATTTAATGCAGTCGCGACACATGGTTTAGCTGCTTGAACCATCATGTCTGTTGATTTTATCTTAGATATTCATCAGAGATTTTCATTTGGACCTCTTACCAGCAAGATGTAAGGTTCTTTGGTGGACTAGCAGGGCATTGGAAAGAGATGAGGCTGACATTAGTTACTCTCTTATAATAAACTGGAATTAAAGTATATTGTGGGGAGAAAAATTATTTACTGTATTTTTTTATATTGGAATGTGTCGCTCATTGTCTGAGTCCTAAATGTCAAAGGCCTGTTAGAAGACTATAAATATGTAAATAAATGTAGTCCTCTATAGAGCAGGGCTGAGAGAAACATCAATCTATGACAGATGAGTAGCCTATTCAATCTCAGAGGCTTCTCCGAGGTGCACTGTTTGGGTTTTATCACTCAGATTTGTTATACGAAGAGCCTTTGGCCACTGAAAAGTGGACCATAATGCAATTTCAGAATCCTACTGCAGAACTTGGACATTTTTCCTGACATATTACTGAGATATGGTGCAAAGATGCCAGAGGGAAATCATTTTTATCATGGTCACCTGTTCGAAGTCCGAAGCCGGGTGGGGTGATAAGAACATTTTAAGCAAACACGCATTTACAGGTGCATTTGTCTGATACACAGCGTGACTTTCTCACCGTTGTCTCGTGATGAGGTTGATGTAGTGTCTCAGCGCGGTGTAATATTTGGCGAGTTCCTCCGGAGGAGCGTCATCTCCGGGATTCTCTGGTTTGGGCGGATAGGCGTCCACAAAGGTCCCGAGACACAGGAGCACGCAGAAGAGGACAGTAGCGATGACGGTCCAGGGTTTCAGCATGATGGCCATCTGAAAAATAAAAATCGCGGGTTTTTTCCATCCATTAACTAATGTACAAGAAGGCTTCTTGTGGTTGCTTTAAAAGAAACTGCGTTTTATAAGAAGTCTGAGTGGATCAGGAAAGTGCGAGCGCAACAACCGGTGGAAGAGTAGTTGCGTCAAATACAGTTTTGTAATAGTTTCGCGAGTTAGTAGCTGTGCACATTGCAGTCAACACCACGGCAAAAACTTCATTTTTTAACACTAATAAAAAATACGTCTTTGAAATTCGGACTGATTTGTCAGAACGATTATCCAAATCAATCAAAATTCAAAAACACACTAGATCAAGACTTTGAACTGCATTAATAAACGAATCACTTTAATATGTGTTTAAAACCATATGACAAAAAAAAAACCTTTTTACGAAATGGAATAATTGTGAATAAATAAAATCTATTATTTATTTTTTAATGTTAATCTAGACTATCGAACTTTGTTTTCCCCCTAGCAGCTAATTAAAAGTAGTATGAGCGTCAAAGTGATTGCTGTCCATGGTGCTGAATGTGCTCGGTCTAATAAAAATGACACACTTAAAGCATCTTTTGTATCCGACATTAAACACTCAGAAATAATTTTACAGTAATGAAAACAATGAAGCCTAGATTTTCCACGAAGAGCCAAATTTAGCATCTTTCAAATGTTAAACGCAAGTTTTGATTTGGCACCTTCACATGCAGAATGATAACCACAAGACAACTTACTTTCAGCAGCCAAAGAGTTTAGGTACAGTTATTTCTCTGGACTGGAACCTTGAAGATTCTTGTTCCAATGTTCTTTTTTTGCGTCTCCCGATTCTTAGCGAGGTCTTTCGGAAATAAGAAATTGTCCACTCACGGATCTGTTCTATCCTGCCCGCACCTCAAGCGCTTTATATACGGTGCTGCGCCTTGCGTAAACACGAGACGGGCGGTGGAAGTGACAGGAGCTCTGCCCCCAGCACCACATCCAACGTCAATCATGAACACATTCGTAATACACCTCACGAGACATTTTCATTAAGATCATTACTGATGTTCAGCTGCACATCAATTACCTGAAACTGAGACGTAATTTAAAACGAATATCTTATTCTTTAAGCTTACACATGTAGGACATGATTTTGTACATATGTATTATTAATCAAGTTGCTTATTAATAAAACCCCAGTCTTTATGAACAGATAGCAACAAGTGTCTGTCAAGTAATTTTCATCAAGTTCAGAGTGTCTTGCGTCAGTAGGAAGTTTCTGATGAAAGGAATTAAGTTCGAGTGGCCTTCAGTATACATTAAAAACAGTAGATGACGCTCCAAAGATTACCTTGATTGCAGCGGCTAATCAAAACTCAGACACGACTAATCGAGCAATCAAATGTAATTCTTGCTTTTTCTACTTGACCCTTTATCAAGTTAACAACTCAGATTCTCTCTCTCTCTCTCTCTCTCTCTCTCTCTCTCTCTCTCTCTCTCAAGTTCCCTTTGTATAGCTGTTAAACCTGTTCCATAAGATATTAAACTCAGTGTGGGAATTATACAATTACTTTTACGGAATCGCCTTTTTACGGAATCGCCAATTTATGAGGCATTTCGGCTTATTTAAAGCTATTTAACAAAGTCTGCTAAATTTTTAAATGTAAGTAGGCCTACAAGCAATAGCTACCCGAGGCGCAATCTAGTGGCTCGTCTCATACAATAATTTGACTTGTAAAACAAAACATTAAAGTTTTATACAAATAGAATAAAGTGACACATATTGACAGTAGTATAGGCTACTTGTCATGATAGACTATCTGTCATCGTACCGACCTAAACTGATCGCGATTTAAAGCTCTTGAGCGACACGCTGTTGTTATGGTTACCACCTCTGAAAGCCACTTCAGGACGTTTGCGTCTATTTGACTGCAAGTGGAAATGCACGCTCTCTGTAATCTAACTTGTAATCTTTTATCATTACACACACGTTTGACAGTCCTGTTGAAACCTATAGGTATTTGTATGAAAAAGTTATGCTATTTATGCTAAGTTAATCTTCTAGTTCAACAAGATACAAGATACTTTGTAGTGGCTGGAAGCCTGGATAAATGAAAACTGACTTCGGAAAAATGTAAATGAATATGATCTTGCAGAATAGCATGCTCATTTTACACAGGTGTCACTTTGCGTCGTATTTGCATCTAGCTGCTTTTTATGTTCCAGGCAGAAAATGTACGTATATGTATCGACATAATTTGAAACAGGAAATGAAGAATCTGTCATTTTAAAGAAGATACAGTTACATATTTGCATATGGTCTAAATGAAATCACTAAGAGGATATGGGTAAAAAGAAATGAAAGCGTTTCTGTGGCTCCTGGGTCTATAATAATGCATCTGATTTCTTCTGGTCCCTTGAGGCATAAATAATAAAACTTGTTCCCAACAGACTGATTATGTTGCAGGTAGTTAATACTCCCACAGAAAGCTTTGTGATAATTCAATTATGTCTTTACTTGATGTTTCACTCATTCTGACTGCGTGGTTTAGTCACATTACGTGAGAAAAGAATGAAAAAACAAAGGAATGATTCCTAAAATGAGACTCAAATGACTTTTAAATGACTTTAAGAGATGCAGGACAACAGCAACTAATGACTGAAAGCATATGGTTGTGGGTATTACTGTGTTATCTGGTACTTATTATAAATTGCACATGAAATTGCAATCAGTAATCCTGGGTATTACACTTTTTAGAAAATTGTATCTGATTATTTCTGATTAACTGAGCCTATAAACTTCTTGCTTAACTAATCTTGTATAAACTAACTGCTGTAATTATAAAACTAATAGCCTATTTTATTTCATTAAGTACCAATGAATTCTTGCTTTAAACAGAAATAGTAAGACAGTACAGTTTAATAGTTGGCAATGGTGAATATATTTAAGTTTTCAATTCAATTCAAGTTTATTTGTATAGCGCTTTTCACGATACAAATCGTTGCAAAGCAACTTTACAGCAAATGCAGTTTCTACAATATTTAGTGGTAGCTTATCAGTGGTGACTGTCAGTTAATGTACATATGGCAGAAATGTATGGAAAAATCAATTAAAGACGTAATCAAACAGACGATGAACACTATTAACAACAATTATTATATGATGCAATCAAACTTATAGCAAAATGTGGTAGTTCTGTAAGTTGTTTCAGGGTTGGCATCATCTGAGGTCCTCTGAGGGGTTGGCATCATCTCTTCTCAGGTGTTCTGGATCCAGACTGAAGCATGTGTAAATCCTAGTTACCACGGGATGTCAAACAAATAGAGACATAATTAGCGTAGCTGCTGCTCCAACCAAGCAAAATT